TTTTTCATACATGTGGATTAAGCTATCCTTCTCATGCAGAGTATGGTCGCTGTTACTTCTTCTCTACCAGTCTCTTCAGTCTGAACCCCTGGCCTGCTTTTCTGAATCTCATCTAGCCTTCCTTAATTATTTGAAATACATTTGAAGTAATTTTTTTCTTTTAGGTTGGCCTACTTTCTTGGCCCCCACACAAAGCAGTAAATCAGTCCATCTAGAACTCCAGCCAGTGTGTTTGTTCTTTCCCAACTAATATAGCTTCTCATGTCTGGCTTTGATAGACACACACCTACTCCACTCCCTTGAGTTTCGAGCCATGATATGAGCTGAATTATCCCTCTGCCTCTGCACTCCTTCACCAATGTCCTCCCCTAGTGTAACATGGAAACTGCTTTCAGGTCCTTCACAGAATCCTTCCCAGTCCTGTTTGCTGGTGCTACCACATAGCTAGTGTGTTGTTTCCCTGGCTGCTGTATGGATGGCAGCTGCAGCCCTGCCTACACATATGCAGACATTCCCAGTGGACACCATTTCTCCTAGAAGAAGAACCACAGTAATGCCTTCTTTCTGCACACTCAAATGGTGTTTCAGAAGGTCACAACGTGGGCAGTCCCTGGGCTCGCTGCTATCATATCCTCATTACCAGTGCTCCCCTCACTCCTGTGCCCCTGATGATAAGTTCTCTGAGGAAGAGATTCTCTTTTTACCTCACATTCTTACTTGCCTGGGATATAGTTGAAAAGTAACAGCTGCAGCAAGAACAACAGGACCAAACAGTTAATCATGCCATGCAATAAATATTCAAGTATTGATAGTTGCCCACAATGTAATATTGACTTTGCTAACTCCTTCCTTTTTTTCAGCAATATTCTGTTTGACCATTTTTGCTTTTACTATTAAAATATTTTCTCATTATGACTGTTGTTCTTGTTGTCATATTTTCTCATCAGTCAGCAAGTTGGGCTCAAATGTATCTTCTATTTTCTCTAATGTTGAAGATACAGGCTATTTTTTATTCCTTCCTGAAATTCACATGTCCTGCACTATGCTTCTGTCCCAAGAAAACAGTCTTAATTCCCTAAGTTCCTGTTTCCTCTCTGGATTTTGAATAATGATTCTTCACCTCCTGGGTATGAGTTTTCTGTACCAGTTCACCTTTTTGACAATTCACAATTTAAATTGTCCAGTAAATAACATTGTACCAGTCTAAAAAAAAACAACAACTAACCAACAAAAACCCTGAGATCTTGAATAAGTTACCTTTGCAAATTATCAGCACAAGCTTCCTGGTTGTGACCCAGGTTAAGGAGTTTAAGAATGCCCACATCCATTAGGACTTAAATCCACCAGCAGTAGATTTAAATTCATGACCTAAACCATTTCTGTTTTCTTTATGGATCAATTTGAGAGCTTATAGATACCGAGTAAGTTACTTGTAGTTAGACATTGCTGTAGTTATTGCTATTTAAGACATAAGCAATGGGCTACTTCAAGAACTCTTTTGTCCACAACTATTAAATAACTATGAAAACAAATAAAAAGTGCAACTTTATATGTTAAAAGATACCTTTCTTATACAGGCATCTGGAGCATTTCTTCTAGGCTAATGGCCAGCAAAACCATTAACAGCAACTAACGGCACAGAAGGAAATTTTCTTCCAGTCCTATTTTCTGATTGCTAGGAAATAAAACTAAAAATAGACTTTACAAGTTTGGGGGGCAGACTGCAAAAGCTGGGAGAGCTCTGTTAACTTTGAGATGCTCTATGGCTTTACACTCTCTGAAGATCTGGCTCGCTGATTTCATCAAGGGAAAGATTAGGAATGAACAAAAAGAGGGAGATTTGACTCCAGCTGTGCACTAGTTTTATTTGTATTTTATAAAGATTTAATTATTTTTCTCTAGTTCTAATATAAATGGTCATTAGAAATAGAACATTTTACTTCCTGCTTGCAATGGGTAATTAAATAAATGCTCCACAACTTGTAGAAAACTTAATAAAGAATTTGGGAGTCAGTTTTAAGCATGCCTTTCAAACATACCCTGAGAAATTTTCAGACTCCTTTTTCATGTTGTATGTCTAGTGCTTTTCCATGCCATTCCAGACATCCCATTAACTTCTGTCATCTCACACTATTGTATCTGTCCAGTTTCCTCAGACTACATGTTGATTAAATCATCTTAAAGAGGAAATGCTGAATTTGCAGCTCACAGTAATTCCTGTGATTAATCTCTCTCCTATGCCTCTCTTTGAAGATGAGACACCCTCCCTTCTTCATCTTCCTCTCAGGTTTCCACTTTCCTGCCATCACTGTTCCCAAGGATTGCCTCCAGCTCACATCAGCTGCCAGCCACTTCCGGAGTTCCTTCTTTGTTCTGATTCTGCCATAGAGAAACAGGTCCCACACCTCTGTCACCCCACTCTATGCACCAGTGTCAGCACTGTGGCCTGTTAGGGGAAAACAATATATACATACATGGTACCTGAATCTCCCAGAAGCTGGCCTTAGGAACACTCTCTGCCTAGCAGCAGGCCCTGGACCTTCCATCTCCTCAGTTGGTAGCACTCGGGCATGTGTGTCCCTGGGGGCAATTTAAGATCTGATTTTGTATGATCACTCTTCTTCTTAAACTAATATTTTCATTGAGATTTATGATATGTCAGTAAAACTTACTGAAGGATTGAGACCTGGCACAAGACTTTTATTTTAAAACTGCATGGAGCTTCTTCCATTTTGCAGAAAAGAACTCCATCAGAGAAATTATCTGGGATTTTAGACTTTATCCAAAATGACTCAAGACCATAGCATCTTGCTTCCTCTACTACTAGGGAGAACCACCTTGAGAGTGGAGCATGGGCACACAGATCAACTTGGATGGGAGCTCAGTAGAAAAGCTGGGAGGTCACAGGCTCCAGTGCATGTTCCCCTGGTTATTTCTGATTGTTGGGGTTTTTTTGTTGTTGATTAGTTGTTGGTTATTTTTAGCAAATGCTTCTCTGTACAACATACAGGCAGATGTCCTACAAAAAGCAGGCTTCCTCTTCTTGCTAGCTAGCGGGCTACCAAGTTAAGCTCCCTTTTCTTGCTCCCTATGTGCAGTACTGCTCCAGCATCAGTGTGAAGAGTGTTCCACTGATTTAGGCACCTGCTGGCAAGGTGGGAGTGGCTAATGGAGGTTAGATGCTCTACAATGAAACCTTCCATTTGCTAAACCATAAGAATATTGTGTATGTTCTTGCCATCCCACTTTTGCAAATAAAAGGCATCCTGCCTGAAGAGTTCTCTCTGGATTTGTACATACCCAGGATGCCTCCTTTATTAATCCAAAAGAGCTGGAGGTGGGTGATAGGTCTCTACATGCTGAAGCTGGTTAAAGTAGCAGCAGCTACAGAACATCACAGGAACTGACTTTAGGCACTTTTGCAGAGACAACCCCTGAGATGCAAGAGATTCCCTAGTGCTGAAATCATCCACTAAAGAATCCTTTTGACTTAAGTACCTCTTTAGGCATCTTCAGTGACATTTAGGTGCCCCAAAAATGCCTCTCTGCTTTTAACTCTTTCCTGGAATATTTCAGCTACTTTAAGGTCAAAAGCTCTAGACAGCTGGTTGAAGTTATCAATCTGGGCACTCATGTCAAGCATGTTTTTTGGTATTTCTTTCTTCCAGATTTAGGCCTTAGGGCAGAAGATAGGAAGGCAACATCAGCTTCCACCCATAGCATTTCATGTGCACAACTATTGTCATATAAATCTAAGTCCAAACCTCTACAAAGATCATGTTCCCCTCTTTCTTGCAGTGCTCTGCTAGAAAGAGAGCTTGATATAAATATGTAAGAACTTGAGTCTTCTCTGAGTACCTTAATACAGCATTTGAAAGTGATACTAGAACAAGTGCACTGGTCCCAAAAGGAAAATTGTGGTTTGATTCATATAAGAGCTTTGTTATTTGTTCCGGAGCAGTGCACAAAGGTCCCTAGAGATGCAAACATTGCTCTTCTGCTCATATGTAAAATGACTTGACTGGTGCCATCATTTCTGTCTCTTCTTCTGACTCATATCTCTCTCTGTCTCCCACAGTGAGTCGAGACTTTGACATTAGAGCTAGATTGTCTGCTCTGGTGGAACGATGCTGGCGGATTGAATTTCCTCTTTGACCTGACAGATTGGATGAGCCTGCTCGTCTATCCAAGTGTGCCATTGGAAGCAACTCTTCCTGTCTGTGCTTTGCTTCCCATGGCCGTAGTTGGGGCTGAGGTCTGAACGTTACTGGGAATGCAGCATCAGAGCCATTTCTGCAGTGATCTGAAGGAAGACAGACAAATTGATAATGTGAAGAAAAGAGAAACACCGTGGTATTGACAAGGACAGTTAAAGGGTATTCAAAACATTACAGTGTTACGGTTTTAAACTCTGGAACTGAAACACCTTAAATAATTTCTAAAGAATAAGAGAGTAGTCAAGAACTAAAAATAATCCTAATTTTAAAATTTTCACTCCAAATCTGTAGTTTAAAATACTTTCTTGATCTTGCCTCTACCCTGAAACCCCAGTGAATAAGGACATTCAGCTATATTTTAGTGCCTTGCAGAGCTGCTCAATGCTTTCAGTGTTCCTTTATGTAGCTTTCAGTTTTTCTACACTTTTCAAAATTCTCTCTAGTCCCATGGTTGAAAAGCTTTGTGAAACCCACAGCAGAAGACAAAACGCAGCCAAGGAGGAGACTCCAGTGCCACCAAAAATTAAGTTTACCAGTCACCCGTGATTAACCACTGGGAAAAAAACAGTTTCACCTGAAGCCAGAAGTTTGACTCTATGGTGCTTTGATTACATTGGGTGTGTCAGACCTGCTCCAACCAGCTTTCTTTGCCACAAGTACACAATAAAAAATTGCCCACAATAGGGAATAGTCTTTTAGAAAGACATATATCCCCCACCATGACATCCTGACAAACAAACAAAAAAGAATCAGCTGTATGGAAAAAAAAATTAAGTTAATCCCCTAGAGTAACTTTGATTTTCCCCTCTGAAGAGATCCTCCAGGTTTCTGTTCTGCCTCCATCAGATGTAAGTGCCCAGCCCCAAGGGGATGGTTTGCCTACACAGATCTCTTTTGCTTTCATCTCTTTCACAGTAAAACAGAAAGGGAAAAAATAAATAATTTTGCACCTGCAGGAAACAAACTCCATTGACCAACTTTTTGACACAGGTGTAGGTCTGAGTACCAGCAGCAGCCATGGATCTGTGTCCCCAAGGGTACACAAGCCCGAGTGCTACCAACTGAGGAGATGGAAGGTCCAGGGCCTGCTGCTAGGCAGAGAGTGTTCCTAAGGCCAGCTTCTGGGAGATTCAGGTACCATGTATGTATATATTGTTTTCCCCTACAAGGCTACAGTCCTGATCATCCAGAGAGAGGACCAGCGTGAGGCCATTGATGCCATTTGCATGAGGCCTGTGCCCTGTCCATGCTGCTCTATGTGTCCATCCATGTGTATGTGTGCACTGAATTATGGTGTGGGGAGTGCCTATTGGGAATACCTGCTCAGCCTTGCTACCCGTTGGACCTGGAGGCATGGAGCTGCAGCAGCCTCAGGTTCAGCAACTCCTGAAAATTCTGTGTACAATTGTGTTTGTGGGGCTGCAAGGAACAAGCAATTTGCTTTCTTGGGCTTACACAGATGCCCTTATGGCCAGGCCAAGCTGCAGGAATCATAGGAATATTTGTGCAAGAGGGAAAAAGAGAAAACTAGGCAGTGCTGGAATGAATTAGAAACTGCTGCAGTAATGATCATAAACAACATAGATAAAAAAAAGATAGTAGAGAAGGGTGTAGTTAATTTAAAGAGGCCAGGGACTTTCATGTGAGTGTTCTTTTACTACTGTTAAATCCACTGAGCAGCTTTCAGTGATGGAGTAGGACAGAGAGTAAAGCCCCTATATTACCTGTAAAAGTAACATGCCTGGCTTTTCGTCTGGTGTGCCGAGCGGGGCCCTGAGGCAAAGACAGGTAGCGTACTTCCTTGGTGCTAGCCTGTGTATGGAGACAGAAATATGTTCAGTGCCCATGACTGCCTCTATAATCTCCACTTACTTGGTGGGATGGTAAAAAGGGATGCTTATATGCTTTTTCTACTGTGCCTCTGCAGCTTTACAGGCAAATTTTAGAGAAGTGTGAATAAGATCAGTGCTTGGCTTGGGTGGGATGAACTCAGTGTCAGCTCTAGCGAAAATGTCTGTGTCTGCTGTAATGACCTAGGCTTTTTCTGCAGTTAGTGGAACAAAACATGTTTTCCTAAGACTGACTTTTTCGATTTCAGGTAACAACTTTAAATAAAATTAATATACCCAGCAAAAACTTGTTTCTTTTCCTTAGCTGTGATCATCTCAGCTGTAAATATCTATGCTATTCAATGCCTACATTTGGTCAGACAAATCTTACTCTAACTGATGGAGAGCCCAAACTGTCAGTGCAAGGTGTCAAAGGCTTTCCATCAGGCCTTTTGTGAATCCACAAATTCACTCAGCTGAAACTGTGGCATGTTTTGCACATGCCAAAATAATGCAAACTACTTTATTTTACTACTTACAGGCATAGGAGCTGATTTCTGACCAAAGTATAAAAGTGGGATGTAAAAAAGCTGCTGTCCACATGCTAAGGGAAGCTCTCTCTTCTTAGGTGCTGCATAAGGACACTGAGGAAAGTATCCATTTTAATTATAGCAAGAAAACATATAAAAATGAGTGTCTCTTTCCTCATTTAGAGAGAATAAGGGGCATTTTGTACATTACTAGTAGTTTATGTAACAGGTACCTGTCCACCCCAAGGTAAGCTGTTTCCCTTCCTGCAGCTCTGCCTCAGGCTGTGCTGCCGACGGATCAGGATTTCTTGAGCTTCTTTCTCATTGGTGTTGGTAGGCAGGTTGTGTCGGTTGTACGCTGGAGCCTGAAACAGAAGAGGCATCCCACTGATTCTCTTTGTGCTTGTCATGTGATTAAACTTGCAGCCTGGTCGATCACGGGTCCAAGGGGACACCTGCCCCAGCCCTGTCACCAACTCACCGTGGGTCTCTTTGGGATCACGTGGAGAAGTGCAGCCTCATGCTAACCTCACACAAACACAGCTGTAAGGAACACAAGGGCTTCATTTTATGCCATTTTTAATAGGCTCTTGTTGGCTCAAAATGTACCATAAAAATATACCTACTTGCACAAGGATCTCTGGGCCTGTCCTCCCTTTGTCACCCCTCTTCTAATCACACAATTGAGAGCTACAGATCTGGGACAGGTCCCAAGAGTAGCCTGTTAACCCACCTCTAAGCCTTGTCACCACATTACTGAGCCAGGAGCAAGTAGCAGATGTGTCCAGGGGCAAAAGACTGTGTTAAGAAGAGTACATCTCCAGAGTGAGATGCACAGCTGAGTTTCCTTTCCATACTTGGACAAACTACACCCGAATATTACCCTAAAACTGAGCATCTTTTAGGACAAGCTTTTTTAAATTTATTGCACACTTTTAGTGAAATTATGGAAATAATTATCTGTCTTAAAAAGAAAAAATCACCCAAGTTATAAGCCCTCTTAAAAACTGAAACCTGTATTCAGTTTCACTTGCAGCAGTCCTTGTAAAGTTGGTCTGGTGAGCTAGAGAATTACCAGGCCTTCAGAGTTGAATGTGAAGTATCAGAAATGGCATTATTTTACTTCCAAGCTTTCATTTCCAAAAGCACAGTTTGCAAAACCACATAGGAAGCTACTGATGTGAATAGTCATTACTGTAATTGATTTTGAAGACAGAGGGTTCATTTCAGTAATCTAAAAGACAGCCATATATGCAAGTTGTTGCTGGTAAGATAAGAAATTAATATCATAAGGATAATTGGCCATGGCAAATCAAACAATGTTAGGAATGAATATCATATTAATAATGACACATTTAAATGAGCAGCATCTAGCATTTTCTAACAAATGTGTGATTACATAAGTTAGCCTTGTTTATCTGCATAATTTCAAGGTTACTGCAATATATCCTTTATGTCAGTGCTATACGAGAGCACCCAGTTATATATTCTGGGTCCAAGACTTCAGTAATGAGATATTTTACATTGAGCTGCATCAGAATCAGTACAAACCTCTGCAAAACAAATTCCTCCTGATGTATTATCATCCCCATTGCAGCAGGTGGAAACAGTAAAACAAAATAAAACCAAACAAAACCAAACAACCCCAAACCCTGTGAAATAAAGCCAGAGGAGGCGGTTGGGGTTTTTTAACTCCTTCCTCCTCCTGTGGTTCGGGTAAATTGTTGTTCCCACACAGATGGAGCATCTACCAGCCCGCCCGACTCTAAGCTGACTTTGGGCTACGCAATGTTTACTGCCACTGGTCCACCCACCTCTACAGAGGAGTTTCACGCCATCTGGCGACCTGCCAGACTGCTGCCTCCCACAGAGCCCTGCATGCATCTTACCAGGAGCAGCTGAGGGAGCTAGGGTTGTTCAGCCCCAGAGAAAAGGAAGCTGAGGGGAAACCTTATCACCCTCTACAGCTACCCGAAAGGAGATTGTCGTGAGGTGTTGGTCAGTCTCTTCCTCCCTAGTAACAAGTGATAAAACAAGAGGAAGTAGCCTCAAGTTGTGTCAGGGGAGGTTTAGATTGGATATGAGGAAAAATTTCTTTACTGAAAGAGTTGTCAGGCACTTGGACAGGCTGCCCAGGGACGTGATGGAGTCACTGTCACTGGAGGTGTTTAAAGGACATGTAGATGTGATGCTCAGGGACATGCTTAGCCGTGGTCTTGGCAATGCTGGGTTAATGGTTGGATGTGATGATTCTGTCTCCCCCCCGGCAGCCAGCCGTCTGTCCGTCCGGCTTCCATCCTGCCCCTGCCCCGCCAGCCTCCACCGCCTGGGCTGTGGTGACCCCGGGGTGGGAACCTGCTCCTCAGCCTCCCCCAGAGAGGGTGACAGCCTCGGGAAGGCTATTTCTGAGCCAGAGGAACCTGTGTGCAGTGCGGGAAGCCTGACCTCTACAGCTCAGTCACAGATTTTCCTGGCTTGTCGTGCTGCCGCCTGGGTGAAAAGCCGACGGAAAAAAAACCTGCTGTCCTTTTTTTCCACCTGGGAGCGAACGCCGACCTAGGGCTTCTTCTCCTCTTTCCCCTTTTCCCAGCAGTGTGACCCCAGGGCCAGCGCTGGGGCTCCCAGCTGTGCTTCGGGAAGGGCAAACACGAGCGCTCAGCCTGCCAACAGTGCGTGAGGGCAGGTCGCTTACACACCCTTTGTCGCACTTGGTACAGGTTGTGGGCCAGGACATCTCTCATGGACTCCACCTCTGCGGGGGTGAGCCTGTGTGCACGCCGATTTCTACCGCTCCTGTAAATAAATAAAAGTTTCAATATGGTATTAGTGAGCTGTTTAAATACCATTTCCATGAAGTGATGCATGATTTATTTTTAGTACTAGAACAGGTGGGGATGAAGAGTCTGTCATCGAGCAGAGACACCACTAAAACATCCAAAGATTAATAAAAAATGTCAGATTTTGCTATTTCCTGTTTCTTATCAAGATACTGGGTAAACAGAATGTGCCCTAAATTCCCATATAGGTGGCAGCAGAAACTCTCCTTTCTCAGAGCTTCATAATGAAGTCCGTACTTAAGGATTAGACTGGGCAACAACCAGCTGCATGTTCAGGAAAGTACTGCAAGTTTCCTTCCCTGTCTGAGAAGCATGATCTAGCAATCTGGGCCTTGCAGTCCTGCTGCTTTTAACTCCTTTGAGAAAGCAAAGTGCAGCAAAATAAAGCACCTGCCAGTTAAGGAGTCCAAAAGACCTGCCCTGTGGTGAGAAGAACACACAGGGTTTCTGTGCTACTGAGCCTGTTTCTCCATTTAAAATTAAAGAGCTACCTAAAAGATAGTCATCTTAGGATTTTTAACAAACTGACAAGAAGCCCACAATCACTTGTAAGCTGCCTGGCTTTCTCACTAGCAAAACAATGGAGGAGGGCTGCTGTGAAACCTTAACTGCTTTTGCCAAATAGGTCAATCTATGTGAGAGTTAGTGTTCAGCTGAATTCCTGAGAAAAGAAAAGGAAATAGATAGTGATCATCCAGGATGAATCAGTCTGAGTTCAGTTTGTTTTTTCTGTTCTGGTTTTTTTTTCTTTTCTCCATTTTGCTGTGTTGTCTCTTAAAAACAAAAACAAAAACAAAAAACCCAATAATAATAATTGCAAATCTTTGTTCTCAGCTAAGTGATGTCCTTAAAGTGTTGTCGGTTGCTCCTAAAGTGACTTAAATTGAATCAATTAAATTTCCGGTGTTTCGGTGGAGCTGAGGTAGCAAGAAAGCAAACAGAATTAAGATAGCCTGTATTGTTCTAGAGCACAAATAAAAGGAGTGTATTCTTTTAATGGGATTAGATATTAACCTACCCAGCTGATAACAGTGCACAGGTATGGAAATAAGGAACAGATTGCTATTGCATTTTGCAATAGACAATACATTTAAAACAAAACAAAACAACAACAACAAAAAAACCTTTCAAAAAAACCAGCTTGCTATGTTACCAAACCCATAAAAACACCGTTATTGAAAGTATTTCTTGGCTGCTATTGAAACTTCCAGCATGTTGCAACAAAGCACAGCACAAGAGATACATTTCTGAAGAAAACACTGAAATGGTAATATGCCCTGAAAACTGTCTCTGTGTAATGAGTACCATGACAGTATCTCTTTTTTTTCATTAGACATGGAGATAGTTGATACATGGAGGAAATAAAATGCCTTCTGCAAACCCTGAAAAATTATTTTTTATTTATTATATCTAAAATGTTGAACCTTGTGAACTCTCCACTGATCTGCACTAGTCCTGAGAAGGAAGTAACAAACATCAGGCACAGCTCTTGCACAACTGCACCACTAGAAGTGACAAAAAAGCACTTGATTCTGATCTGTAATGTTACATTCTAAGATTTACTCTAATACAGTCTAAGATTTACTATTACCAAAATCAGTATTGCAGTAATATCAAACCACTACTCTTTAATGGGCATATTTCCTCCAAAAAGCAGCCCTATAAAAACAGTTTTGATATCTGCTTGGCAGTGCTTTTGCCATTTCTATCCTTGTTTCTAAGGCTTATATTCTCTAAAACGTCATAACAAAATGCTCTAGTTTCATCCAAATATGGATTCTTTTTTACACAGTCCATGGGCAAGTTTCTCAAATCTGCCCTGGAAATACTGCATATTGGACATCCATTCCACCTGTAGGAATCACACCAGCGTGGATGGGATTTATCCAAATAATGCTAATTCAGAGCAGTGGAAATCTGCTCTGATTGTTATAAAGTATTTCCCCCGTGTGCCTAAAGACTGCAGAACTGACCAAAATCCTAGTGAGTTTCCTCACTACTCTGACACTGCAACTATTGCTTCACATGCCGTGAGTTAGAATTTAATTTCAAATCTCTCCTTGCTCATGGCCAGTTTTTGTATCCTCACAGAGACTTTAGGTAAAAGATATCTCAATTGTAACAACCAAACAATTTACAAATATGTTTAAAATATTTTAGTCTTAAGCAGGTTCACTTAATTGCTTAGAAGAATGCTGCATTGGCTCAGACAGAAGATTCAGCACTCCCTATCCTGTCTCCTTCAGTGCTCAACAGTGGACTAATGAAAAAGTGCATTTTCCTAGAAACAGCATTCAAGAATCAGAATTTTTCTGAGTTACAGGCTGCGTTTTGGTTTTGATGTTGACACTTTATTTTTAAAAAGGCTTTTTTCAGGAGAACCTATGCATCAGAGTTGTATGCACAGAAAAATTCTATTACTGCCAGAGTAGAGCTGGCAAAAATTAGTCCATCATAGCAGCTGTTCATCATAGAATACTTTTCCATCTAAATTCTTGTCTCAGGAGAGAATTTCTGAACTTCTCTGATGGGATTTATATTCTTTTTTCCTCAAGAAAAGCAGAGGAATGTGATTTGATTGCCATAGATTGTCTACTAACCTTGCACGTTTTCTTTTGGCTTGGTACAGTTAAGGGAATACAGCAGACAGAAAGGAGCCTGACAGACATGGAATCTTTTTTAATATCATCCATTCAGCAAATAGTAATTTAGAAAGAAAAGGGCTAGGTCTTACACTGCATGCTGACATCAGTTTCAAAAAATCAGATTAATCTGGACATGATTAAGACAAAGATTCAAGAGAGATTTGAACTTAACATCCAGTTGGTATTTGGAATTTCTGGTGTGGGTTGAGATGATCATTCAAAAAAGAAAATTTGCTGGGCCCCGTCAGAGGCTGCTGCAAAATGGGGATGGGTTGAAGGATGCAGTAGCAGAGAGCAGGCAGTAGCAGCAACAGGAAAGAATTTGTGGTGCCATCAGCAGTACCGGCACCCTAGACAGTGTGTTGCAAGGTAAGAATGAATACATGCACAGCAGATGAATTATGCAGGACTGAAGATATATGCAAACTCTCTCCTAGAGCATCATTCCCTCAGTGATGGCTCTTGAGATCCCACCAGTTTTCTCCCCTGGTCCGTCTGGTATCAAGTTGCATTACAGTTTCATAGAACTACAGAGAGGTTCGGATTGGAAAAGACCTTTAAAGATCATCCAGTACAAGACCCCTGCAATAAGCAGGGACATCTTCAACTAGATCAGGTTGCTCAAAGTTCCATCCAACATGACCTTTAATTTTTACAGGGATCAGGCTTCTACCTCTCTGAGCAACCTGTTCTACTGTCTCACCACCCGCACAGGAAAACGTTTCTTCCTTATATCTAATCTGAGTCTGCAATTTTTTAGTTTAAAACAATTTCCCCTTGTCCTATTGCTACAGGGCCTATTAAAAAGTCAGTCCCCATCCTTTGTATAAAACCCCTTGTAAGTATTCAAAGGCCACAGTAAGGTCTTCCTGGACCCTTCTCTTCTCCTAAACAACCCCAGCTCTTTCAGTCTGTCTTCACAGAAGAGGTGCTCCAGCCCTCTGATCAGTTTTGTGGCCCTCCTCTGAACTTGCTCCTCCAGCTCCATGTTTTTTCCCGTGCTGAGGACTCCAGAGCTGGACACAATACAAGAGAAGTAGAATCTCCTCCTTTAACCTGCTGGCCATGCCTCTTTTGATGCAGGCCAGGATATGGTTGGCTTTCTGTGCTGTAAGTGCACATTCCCGGCTCATGTCCAGCAATTCATACACCAGTACCCCCAAGTCCCCTGCAGGGCTGCTTTTAATGTTTAATTGGATTAGTTTGGTACAGCAGTGCAAAGACAGTGCATCAAGGCAGTTTGAGGGACTCAAACTCAAATAGCAAAAATTGCAAATCCTACAAGGAAATCTGCTCTCACCAAAAATTTCTGACTGGAATAATGGAGTTGGGACCTGTGCTCTAAGCTCTCTTTCAGGTTTGTCAGGACCTTGCAGTGATAATCAAAACGCACCAGCCAGCTCAGAGAAGAGCAGAGCCCCCTCAAACCACTTCTGTGATTTAAAGCAGTTGGAGTGGCTTCTGCACTTGTCTCACAATTCCTCTTTGAAATTGGCCATCACTGAAGAGAAACAGAGAAATTATCCCTGGTTTTCATTTTCATTCTGTGGGCAAAGAGTCAAAGTGCAAATATGATAAGCACCAAATTGCCAACACAAACAACTTCTCGTAACTGTCTTTTTTTTCCTTGCATTTCTATTGAAGTCATGAAATCTCTTGGATATTTTCTCATTTTTTGCCCCTCTCCTTCATGTCTGTACCCTGCAAAGGGTCAGGAGCTCAGTACTCACTGTAAAGAAGCTGTGGATGGTTTTGAAATTTTCATGCCACTTTCAGCCATCTCAATGGCCAGTTTTATCTCCATCTTTTTGTACAGTGACACAAGGCTGGATTTGGGCTGGTGTTCCCGAATTAAGATTTTCTTCACATACTTATTGTCAAACTTCTTAAATCTGCCAAAGAGATTAAAATAAAATTAAAAAAAAAGAAATAGGTTTTTATTTCTGTGGCACAAGCTGATCTTCATACAAATGCACACACATATAATTCCATGGGGGAAACTGAACCCACACTGGAGGCACCTGTGAACTCCTGAAGGCCTAGTGAGTGGAGAGACCTTTAGAGGGACATTTGGCATAGTCTACTGCTCCACAGAGATTGCAAAGCTCACCAGACAAAAGAAAGAAACAAGCTGCAATCAGAGCAAAAATGCAGGCTGGGTGTGTGTTTGCGTATAACACCACCACATTTATCAGAAGAGAATATGACCAGTCTCCGTGCTTTTGTACAAATGTTGTATTCTAGCAGGCACAACAGCAGCAGCTGCTCTTACAGTAATCCTGGCCTATTCAGCCAGCCACCAATGAGGCTCTAAATGGCCCAGCAGTTACAGTAGTTTGGGCCCATTATGTTGCTGATAATTTTGAACCCTGACAATTAGAGCAGAGAAAATACATTTCTTTGTATTCTGAATCACAGAGAATTTGAATGGATCACAAAACACTATGTGCTGCAGATTGTAAAATATGGTTAATGTGTGGCGTAATTTGAATGTGAATGTGGGTGTGTACTTTGGACAGGTATGTGCTTTCAGACAGATGTTTAGCAGAACACCAGCAGTTCCTTTTGAAGAACTGTTTTCAGCAGCAAGGTAATGTGCTTCACAATGCCAGGAAAAGCAGTACAGAGTTTGTACATTTTTTCTTACCAAAGACTATTAATAGCAGAGATAGTTACACATATGTTTCCACTGAGATTAGAGCTCTTTATGTTTTCCTATGCGATTGAAAGCCTCCTGGAGTGTCATCATGTAGATAATTAATTCTGATATACAAATGCTAACTGTCTTTAAATTTGCATAGAAAAGTCTACGGATTACCTTTTAAAACAATCACCTTAAATTAAATGTCTTCACATACAGGTGTTGGGTTTTTTTTTAACCTGCCCTTGAACTGAAACACTTCATTTCATAGCTGTTGGATAGTTGTGAGATAAGGGGATAATGTTTTCTCACAGATAAGTGTAAATGCAGGTATTTCAATGGAATTACTACTCCAACCAGATTTTGTTTTTTAGCTTGTTGACTGCACAGACACTGGTGGATGTGAGGATATAGCTTCTGGGTCCAGGTATGTGCCCTATCACATTTCATCATTACTCCTGACTGGGACAAGAACTGGTGGCAAACCAGCTGCCTTCTACCCATTCTGAATTAGTAACTTCCACAGGGAGAAACCCAGTCATGGAAGGAGTTGCCACATGTCCTGACAGCCCCTCTGACTGGATTACTGCAGTCCAATGGTGAAAGATGAGACAGAGGCTGCCAGCACAGAAGTCTAGGCATAGTTAGGATAACTAGGGATAACTTTTAGCCCACAGCATCATAATAAGACCTTAGTGGGAAAGGAAGATTACTCTCTCCCCATACTTCCCTTCACATGCTGCCATGGTGGCCAACATGATCACAGGAGTCACTTAGGGAAAAGGGAAAGGGAACAGCAGCTCAGAATGGCATATCCATGTCTTCTAGGCAGTGCCTGGAAGAACCATAAAGCTTCATAAATCTGCCTCATCCTGCTTATGGAAGACACAATGTATGTCTTGTGTTTCCAAGTGAAAACTATCTTTAAAGTATCTGCTTGTGCTATTGGATATTTAAATTCAACTATTGCTTTCGGAACTATTATTTTAAATAATACTGAATGCACAGACCTTTAAAAACAGGTCACTAATTATTATTGAATCTGTACTCACCAATAAGGGGTCATATTTGTCGTAGACACTTCCTGCAGAAGTCACCTCATGTAGCTTCTGTTCTAAATCCAGACCTAGAGGAGCACTGCCATGGATCTAAGATTTATGCCATAACTGTGTGCACAGGCAAATGTCTGCAGCACTGAGTTCTCATGCTATGTTTTTCTTTCAGAAGGCTTATTTTCTGTTTGTTTGTGCAGAAGCAATTAAGCAGGCAATATCCAAGCACTGCACTCCCAGGAGATAACAGTTACTCAGCTGACTTTTGAAAAAGAGACATTGCACACATCCCCAATATTTTCATGCTATTTTAGCTCTATGGGACACAACATTTCTTATTCTATTTACCTATTGTATTTTACATAATAGATAAATTATTTTATTATAACAGGCTGCAATAAGAGATGCTTACTTATCTCTCAGTTGATAATGACTCCAATGTCCACATATGTCTTCAATACCAGCCTTCAAGTGGTCCATCAACTGGAGAAGCAAATATGGAAAAAATTTGAGTGGCCATTATGAGAAAGTAATGTCACCACAAATAAACAATTGTTGACAGGATTTTGAGATTTTGTAATTGGAGGGTGTGAGTTAATTCTGCAAGCATCTACCAAAGATCTTACTGTGGCAGCTCCTATTCTTGGCTGAAGTGACAATATTTTGATGGAGGCAACAAGTCTGTCAGTCTGCTATCATCTCACCATCACCCAGCAATATTTGGGTTGAAGTAAAGGACTGTGTCCACTGGAAGATGATACTGAGCATCCAAATTGCCTAGTCCTCTTCGTCTACTGAGACAAAAACTTAAATTCTTGGTTCTGTTCACCAAATTTCCCTCCTTGAGAGAAACACAAAACCAGGTACCCCACACCTTAATCTTTGCCTTGACAAGCAAATCCTCTGAGGATTTTGCAAATTTTCATGAAACTGGTAATTGGTAGTATCACTGCTGACTTCCAGAATTTTCAGTCTTCTTTCATGTGTTTCTACCCTTTTGGAAACAGACAGAATAATGGCCAATTCTTACATATGTATATGTGGTACTTTTAAGTGATGGAACTGTTCAAGGACAGGTTGGATGGGGCTTTGAGTAACATGGTCTAGCGGGAGATGACCCTGCCCATGGGAGGGAGATTGATACTAAATGATCTTTAAGGTCCCTTCCAATACAAACTGTTCTATGATTCTATGTAAATTCCTTTAAGGTTAAGTTTAGAGGTTAAATAGTAAGAATTAAATGCACTTTAAATTCAAATCAGCTCAGATTCTTTAATTTTCCTAATGTCTCTGCATGTGCTTAATTTTAAGGCACAGTGATTCTGTTAACTTCAAATACATTCCCTACTGAGAAAATGAAAGCATGTACATATATTTTGTATAGTGCTGTTAAGTTAGTTCAAACAGCTTTCTGTTATTTTATATGATAGTAATTTGAGAGCTAAAGCAAATGTTTAAGCAGGGAGAAGATAATTATTCAGAATAATGTCAAACTAAATTTCCAGACCAATGGTTTGACTCATTTCAATTCAACAAAACATGATATAAATAAGTTCAATTAAACTTAAAATAAAGACTTCTAAGGTGTCAGTGTGACTAGAACTACCCAAAAGATGGCAGCAATGGTATCTGATAAATCTAGCAGGGAAGGATGATGAGTTCATTTTATAAATGATACCTTTATGTTTCTGTCCTCCCATGGCCACCAGTATCAAGAGACAAGGGCCCTGATACACCAGGACACTCATGGTACGATATTATAATACAGTAGTCACTGAATATAAATGAGATACCCTATTTCAGAAAATTGTGCGTTGAGTTTCCTCAAAATGTTGTTAAAAGCATTCCAAATGCACCAAATGCTAGTGCTGCCAAATACCTCCCCTTATCCAGCTCTTTTGGAATAGCTTTTCTCTTCTCTTTAGGATACCAGCTACTGAACCAAAAAACTTACTCGCACATGGATTTCCTCGTTGATAGACTCCTTTTTGTTCGTCTTTTTAACATCTAAATATCTGACCAATGGTCCAATTGTGATCCCCTGCATTTGGAACATTGCGTTGAAAGGTCAAAAACAACAGTAAACAGAAGGATTTAATTCTATTTAATCAATTAGGAAAGCTGTGTCTTATTCACAAGAATGATTTATTACTTGTATGAAGAGCTACAGAAGAGATTATATTTATTGACATGTTTTAACTATGTAATGTGACTGAGTCATTGCCAACAGTCTTCAAAACTGCATTCACTTGAAAGAAAACATCTTTGTGAGGTTCTTGCAATCTGGAAAACTCTTACCTCAACATTTTCTGAATTAAATATTTTGGTTTGGTTTTTTTTTCACTGAGAAACAATTTTCAGCTTGTCAGTTCAAATGAGGACACAGCTGTTCCTAATTCTTTACTGCAGTGCCACAAGATAGCATTAAAGAGGAAAAATTGAAAATAAATATTTTTTCTTAAACATTTCAGTGGAATCTAAGTGCTTAACCACAAGTGCATAGTGCCCCATAGGTACTCTGGAGTGTCTGAGATAATTGATACAGGAAAATACAGAACATGGGTTGCTAGACCTCCAGAAGATACAGTTCTTCCAGGTACAGCAGTGTAAGACAAGTAGAGTAACCCAAATATGTGAGGTAGACACCTATTCTAACAAACATGAAATATTCTCTTTGGTTTTATTTAATATTCTTTTACAAAGGATTTCAAAATGTTCTCATTTAGTCTCCAAGATGAATAAGAATAAAAGTAAAAAAACCTCAAAATCTGCCATAGAAGCATATTCTTTTCTGTTCAGTTTGAGATACATCACTTGTAGAGAATACACCACTAGTAGATTATGTTCTGAAGTGTAAAGTTAAAATGCTTCACTATTTTGAAACATTAGGAAGCGCATGTGGAAAGAACACAAGACACAAAGTGCCCTTTTCTCTGAATATTTTAGGAGACACAAGCACTTAATACAGCCTTTCTGAAAAAGGTATTTAATAATACCTAAAAAGCCCTGGAAGGGTAATTACACAGTGCAGAGCTAAATCCAGCCAGAGAATACTATCATTTGTCCTTATTAAGAGCAAATTCAATGCCATCTTCACTATGAAGCTTTCAGTCATCTCTATTGCATGAAAACAATCAATTAAGAAATATACTTACTTGGATGAAGACAGTGAAATATATAACTACAAGAGTAGCTGTAATGAACAATTTTTTTCTCGGGAAGAGATTCCCTGGAAGTAAGAATGCAAGAGAGAAGCTGCTGGCTCCTCGAAGGCCACTGTAGGAAATAATAAGTTGATCTTTGACGGTGAAGGGATATGTTCGGAACTTGTTAGTGATGTAGAAGAGAGCAAATACACCTAGGAAAAAAACAAACATACAACAAAACAAAAAACCTAAACAAAATAGAAAACACCACAAGTATTAGTAGTCAAGGAGAAAAGGAAAATATTTCAAGCAAAACAACACCTTGGCTCAGGCTGCTGTTGACAGACCTTTCTTTTCCATTTTAGATTATGGTAGCTTGTTTTTGACCAACTGATGAATCTGCTTTTTGTAAAATAATCTCCTAGAAAAGACCATAATTCCTAACTGCTTCAGGATTTAAATTCACTTATGTAGTTTAGAAGTGACATTAGGGGAAAAGATTTCTGTATTTATGTTGCACAGTTCTTCTCCAAAGTGATCTGGAAACAAGACAAACCACTGGATGACTGTTTTCCTGTGACTTCCCTTGCAATATTTCCTGCTTTCTGCACAGTATCTGCCCAAAGTGTTTGAACAGTGCTCTCCTGACAAGTCCTGTGCACAGATTCACTGAAAGTCAAAGAATAATAGCATTTTATTTTTTAATTATCTGGTTTATTGTGTCTCAGATTTGCTGTTTCTTTCTCAAATTCTATTTTGCTTTTAATACAAGTTAAAATTAATGAGATAGCCTGTGGCTGTGTAGGGACTGCAGCTTTTATTTCTAAAGTACATTTAACAATGTGCTTCATCTTCCATAAGAAACATGTATCCTATGCTTTCTGTGGAAACTGTTGAATCACTAAAAGCTGACAAATGCTGATAATTACTGGTGTTATTCTACCCAGCTGCCACTGATAAACTCAGTGGATTATTGTAGTTAAGGACAGCAGCCGTATTGTGTTATGTAGGTTGCTGGATACAACTCTATAGAAGATCTTTTTTAGCTGCTTATGTCTATGCCAGACATAAGCTACTCAGTCTGAAACTGTATACGTGAGGTATCACCCCCAGGCCAATTCTCTTTACTTTATTCAAGCTTGATATAAAATGATGCAATCATTTTAGCAAACAAATTTAGTGGAAAACAATTTGGCCTCCGTCTGGAAAGCTCTAGCACTCCCCTTGGTGTTTGAGAGCAGGATGGACATGTAGCAGCAAAATAGCTTTTGCATCAGGAGAGTACTTTTTCTGTCTTGATTGGAAGGATATTCTGATACAGACTCCAAAAATAAGCCTTTAACAACTTAGAGGCCATGGTTGCTCCAGGATTAGCAAGAAAATATTTAATTAATTTTTGCTCTCAACCCATGAGAATCGTATCACTGCTGTTGTTGAGTACTTGTGCCACCCTATATAATAGAGCAGTTCAGACGCACGTACTTGAACCTTCACGGGTTTCCCTTTACTTCTTTTTCCTCAGGCAAAATGTCTTCCTCCAGGGCTCCCAGGCTTAAAAGTCAAAGGTCTTGAAATGTGTATGGGCTTTGAGGGTCAAGCCAACATCTTCTTTCTGCTCTGGTATTCTTTTTGACTGTGGCATAAACCACCTGAGAGATTTAAGAAATAGCACCTCAATCTCAGATGTCTGATGGCAACACTTAGCTGGTCTCAAATGTTAAGAGTATTGTAGCTGGAAAGGACCTTTAGAGGTCATCTAGTCTAACTTCCTACTCAAAACAGAGCTTATTAGCTCAGGTTGTTCAAAGCTCCAGTCAAGTTCTGAATGCCCTTAAGAGTGGGGAGCTGTGTCACTGGTACCATATTGGATCACCCTCAGGTTAAGAAATTAGTTCCTAGTCTCTAATGAGAATTTCCTATTTTCTACCTTGTGTCTGTTGCCTCTTGTCCTATTGCTGTGCACGTCTGAGAGGTGTCTGGCTCTCTCTTCTGTCTCTCCTCTGATTGGGTACTTGTAAAAAGTGATAAAGCCTCTTGTGTGTCATATCTTTCTCAGTCTGCATAGACTCAACACTCTCTGATTCCTGTACATCCAGTGCTCCAGCCTCTAACCAGGTTGGTAGCCTCTATTGCACTTGATCCAGAATTTCCATGTCCTTCCTATACTATGGACTCCAGAACTGAAGAGAGCACTCTGGAGACAGCACACACTTCCACGAGTCCTGAAGAGAGGGGAAGAAACTGCTCGACCTTCTGGCTGAGCACTTGCCAATGTAGCCCAGGACATGGTTGGCCTTTTTGTCACAAAGACATAATTCTGGATTGTGTTCAACCTGTTGTCTACCAGGACAGGTCCTTTTCTGCAGAGCTGCTTACTAGATTCCAAGTCTATACTGGCACATGGAGTTATTCCAACCCACATTTAAGTCCTTGCATGTGACCTTCTTGAACTTAAAGAGTTTTCTGTCAGCCTATTTCTCCAGCCTGAGCACGTGCCTTTGAATGGAAGCCATCCAGAATATTGACTTCTCCCGCAGTTTGGCTTCAGCTACAAACTTGTTCAGTGTGCACTACATTTCATCCTCCAGGTCACTAATGAAGACATTGAAACAGTATTGGTCCCTTAACTAAGCCCTTAGGGATGGATGCCATTAGCCACAAGCGAGACCAGAATTTTGATCCCAGTGGTCCAGCCTATCCCCTTCCCATATTATCAGCCACTTCAACTGGCCCAAGTCTGCCCTTTGAAATCCAGGGTTGCCATTCTGCTGTTTGTCAACTTGCTCACTCCTCTCAGGATCTCAGCATCTGCAGTCTCATGGTCTCTGCAGTTAACGCTAACCTCAAACTTCACGTTTTCAGCTATTTCTTCTTTCTTTTTGAATGGCAGAGAAGACAAAGCTATTCTCCAGTTGATTCATCAACTTGCATTTTTCTCTGAACTCCTTTTTGCCTTCCTCTTCATGGCACAGCTAGCCCTGATGAATCACTCAACAAGACTTCTTCCTCCTCAATACCGTACCAGATGATGCAGGATCGATGCCCAGAGCTCAAGCCTGGGCCCTGTATGTAAAAGGAATATAAACCAGGGATGAAGACTGAAGGAGGTGGTGACAGGTGCCTGATGTAGATGCTCCAGAGGGGCCTCCTGTGATTATAAACGAAGCAGGAGGAACTAAGCTACTAACTTACTTAACCAAAGTACATGCCTACATTTCAGTGCTCAGAACATCTCCAAGTCCACTTGATGAAACATTTGGATTTATCATAAAATCACAAATTACTCTGAAAAATCCTACTGATTTTAAAAAACAAAGATATTAAGATGGCCAATTCAGTCAGAAATAAGGTTGTTAGTATAAATGTATTTTTAGCCCTCTCATGTGTGCTACTTCTAAAACATATTTTATTACAAAAGTATTGTTCACTCATATTTTTAACTGAATTTAAGTTATAAATTACAGTGGCTGATTAGGGTGTGTTCCATAATTCATCATCTCTGCAGGAGTAAATGCATTTGCTTTCTGTTGCAGCAGTTGTAACTCAATCTGGTGCAGAATAGAATATTCAGGTTCAAAAAAAGGATCACATGGGCAACAGGTCCAAAACAGACCACTGTGTAGCATAGGCAAGAAGTGTACCCTTTTGTTTCCATAACACAAAGACTGCTGGATGCTGATGAAGTAGGAGATGAACAGAGCTCAGAAATTGGTAAGGCCTGCAAGCCTTCCCTAAATAGCACCTCCTGCAGGCTCTGTTGACATCACTGGATGGTTGGTCTGAACCAGTAGGTCATTCCTTCTTCTGTCAGCTTGAGTGTTTGGCTGGATGGTATTAGAAGATGATGGAGATGATGTCATTGTGTTGCTTCTTTGCTTCCACAGTTCCAGTCAATTGGCTAACAGGCACAAGAGCACCTTGTACAAGAAGTCTACAGAACTGCTGCCACCACCAGACCACCACCAGCCTTCTTATTGCTTCTCCTTTTTCAACATTACTGTCAACCCATCCTGACATTAGGAGAAAATGAGAAATACATAATCTATGAACTGCTTTGCCCATGATGGAGGTATCTCAGTCTCACAAATTTGGGACTAGGAGACTTTTGCAGGAATTGGGAGATACTGTGTGCACGGAAGTTGAGTAATTTCAAACAGGCACTCTTTTCTAGCAGTTTAAAACTTCAGAATTTACTTCTGAGGAGCAGCAGCACAGTGTGGCTGGCCTCAATGTGCTAAAAGGAAGGAAGGAAGAGTCCCTGTTTTGTTATCCATTAGTGCTAATTTTCATCTTCCCTGTTTTTTAATGCCTCTGGCTCTTCTGGCCCAAGACCTGCAGTGTTATAGCACCAGAAGTGAGGTGATGTACATTTTCTGATTAGTAAGTTAATTACAGTGTGTGATGAAACCATTATGAAGCCCACTTACCGAACAGCATATATTTAAGTAAGATATAAACATCTATATAGGCACAATATTTTAATTTTGTTTACAATATTCTATTCTCACCTAACCATGAAGTCTGTGCTTGGAAACTGGCATTCAGATTTTTGGGGGGATTTCTTTTTTCATGTGCAAATTTGTGAAACTAACTTGTCAGTGACATAAGTCTAATAAATTCTTTAGTAAACCGGTTATGCCAGTCTGTACAGATGCTTCTAACATACCTTTTCACCAAAGTGTTTCTCTCAGAGGTACAGAGAATGTTGCCTGCAAAGCCTGACTTACTCAGTGTCCGCCATATGAGGCAGAAGAGCAGAGTGAAGCAAATGAAGGCCCAGTTCCATTCATGGTTTTTCCCCACTGTAGACACTCCCATGAACACGAAAATCAGGGTCTCACTGACGCTGCTCAGCATCTTCATGAAATATTTTATTGTGGTATAGGAATTCTGGGAAACATTCTCCTCAACGTATTTTTTCATTGTTACTGCACATGCTGTCATCCTGTACCAGGCAGAACATCAGAGATCAGCCACAACCTGTCTTTCTTTTAATCTAAAAACAACCTCAGCTTTCATTACCTGAACTCTCCATCAGCCTCTGACTTCCCTAATACCAAGAAGCATTTTATTTCTTTAATAACATTAGCTATTTCATTAGCTAGAAGAGCATCTTCATTCACCTTTACAAAGCCATTTTGCATACAGGAAAAAGGATGTAAACCAGTCAGTATTCCTGATGAGGAAGTGAGAGTATCATATTCCAGTTCAAGGTCCATTTTATTCTGAATGCCTAACACACAGCCACCAACACCAAATATTTGAACCTCAAACACAGAGCAAGTCGATTTTGTACAAGCACATGGGCAGATTGGTTAGAGGGACATAACCTGATCTTAGTGATCTTCTTTGAGGTGGTCATGGAGGAGCATGGTGGCAACCCAGTGCCAGAGCCAAAGCTCCCAGTGGCTCCCTGCCAGCTGGCTGACAGATTGGCAGGGCCAGGGTGAGCTTCAGGGACTGTCTGCCCATTGCTGTACAGCAGAGGGAAACTGGATTATCCTACAGAGGTCTCCTTCCCCTCTTTTAGTTAGCCAGGGTGTGGGGAATGTGCCTAAGGAAGAAAAAAGGATGTTTTCCGTCTCCTTACTATTAATGAAGACTTAATAAAGCAGGCTTCAGAGGCATCACCAGCCACCCAGCACAGATGCTGACCAGTCACATGTAGCAGTAGTCTTCGAGCTACCCCCTTACAGAGGGGGTTTCCTCTCTCCAACTTCATTTTCAACAGTTGTAGATGAATAGAATGCTACACTAGTAACACGTTCCAACATCTATCTAGCTTCTATTACTATTATTTTAACCTTTGGGGGCATCTTGTAATGATGTTTTTGCAAATTTGTGAATTCAGATAATGCTTAATGTTCATTAAATAACCCTTCATCTAGTTTCTGCTCGTTTAATTTCTGCTGAAGAAATCTCAAGGGCATTCCAGTGGAGCTGAGACATTTAGCAAGTCCAAGGACACTTAGACAAAGCCATTAGGCATTAATGTTTAATACTGTTGACTTTCAGAGACACACGCATAATAGATTTTCATGATTCAAGTGAAAAATGAATGAATTCCTCAATAATTCAGAAGGGTGACAATAAGTTCCTACCCTTAAAACAAGCAATAATTTCCTTAATGAAGCAATAAGAATAATAAATCGCAATTATATTATCATTCTTTTATTACTAATCATTTCAACACTCTAATGAAAATAATGCTAAATGAAATTTTGGACAGTGCAGTTAGGGAAGAGTTGATATGGTATTAGTGCACACTACACAGTAGGTCTCTATGCTCAACTAAACCATGCTCAACTAAAATTGCTAGTCACCTTAATCAGATCAAATATCTTGGATATGTAAAACAGTGCAAGACTTGTCTCCTTTTTCTGATTGCTCAGAAATATATATATGTGTGTATATATATATATATGTGCTGTCTAAGTACTTATTTAATATGGTATAATATTCAAATATTGCTTCCCAGGGCAGTCCTGCAAAGGTTGCTTTTACAAAGCTAATTCTGCTTTAAAGCTAAACAAATCAGGGTTTAGCAAGTGGAGATGGGTAAATAATACACTTGTCTGGATATCAACAACCACACATTTATATTTGCTAGGTTTAAATCAATTTGTCCTCAATAAAGGGAACTCATTTCTGCAGCACCAGGGTCCACAAGACCTTGCTGCCTGACAACATGGGTTGTTTTTTGTGTGGTATATTTAAAATTTAACTACCAGCAGCTTTATCACAAAGTCTCACTTTCACCCCTATTCCTTCCTTTCTCTTCTGACTCTTTTTCTGCTGCTGTCCTTTCTCCTTCCCACAATACTCCACAATACTTCCCACAATTTGCTGTCTTTGACAGACGTGCCAGCTTCCTCTCTGCAGCAGGCATGCACACCATCACAGTGCTTTCAGAAAACAAGGACAAGCTGTATTGATCACATCCAGGTATTATCTTCTACATTTATACACATGGGTATATGTTGTATATAAGTATGTAATAATGGACATTCTTATCCTATTTTTTCTGCTTTTCATCTCTCGCAATCTCATGAGGATCTTGCTTATAAATAATAGATAAATACAGTTTATAAATACAGACACATGGTCTACTATCAAATAATTCTCTCATCCTGCTGATATTACCAGAGGCAGTAACCAGATGGTGGCAGCACTTGTCATTTTACCCACTGCAATCTTTTTTTTCCAGTGGGTAATATCTAAAAAAATTTCAGAGCAGGTATCCACTCCTCAGTATCTATGCCTACACTAGCTTTGGGTATTCTTTTCCTAGTTACTACCACATTTTACAGACCCTTTAGAAGCCATGACAGATCTCCAGGTCAGAGACCGAAAATACCCGTATTGTACCAGCCTTGAATGAATCACCCCATTGAAACAACGTTTCTTTCCTTAAAAGAGCTTCCCAAAAGCTGTAAGGGATACTCACGCCAAAATCCCCGAAATGTAAAGGGTTTCAGCAGACAAATATGACAGGTAGCTAAACATGAAGACCAGCAGGGGTTCAATAGCAGAAATGTTGTGGGTGAAACGAGTCATGAGAGCTGAAACAAATCCAAAGGCGACGCCAAACACCACTCCACCCAGTCCCACCACAAAGAAGCGAGCAAAGCCAGCAAAAACGTCAATGGATTCAATTTCTTCGTACTTGTGCATCTGGGTGAAGGCAATGAAGATGTTATATAAAACCTGCATGTGAAAATAAGAAGACAGAAGTCATGCATCTTTCTGAGCATAGCAAGTTTACTCATTTAATGGGGGGGGTATGTGTGGATGTGTGTATGCCTTGCTTTAGACAGCTCAGCAAAGTAACAGTTGAAATTTCAGCTGGTTCTTAACAAATCCCAGAATTAAGGGTCTGTCCAGTATCCTGAAAAATAGAAGAAAAAAAAAAAAGAGGGGAATGTGATTATGCAATAAGAGTAAAACTCTGGGGGGTGAAATTCAATTTAAGTAACAAAAGCTACTCTTTTTTTGGTTGGTTTTCTGGAGGTAAACTAAATTATTGTTCTTATTGCAGCAGATGTTAAAAGCCCAGCTAAGTACATTACCAACCCCAGGCTCTCCCTTCCACGTTCTCTTGCTGACTCAGGATGGGGCAGGGGAGCAACTAAGAATCACACTTTTGATTTAAATCCCACTTAGGTTGTCTGCACAATCAGTAGACTCTGGAATGTTGAACGCTTTTCAGTAGTACTTGATGTATACGAATCATTAAACATCACTGGGAAAGGGAAAGGAAGGAGGGGAGGGAAATGGTATCCTCAGTTTCATGCTGTCTCTAGATAGATAAATACAGCCTCTCTATCCTCATATGTTTTGGGTTTCATGCCATTTAACCTTCTTTTCATTTAACCTCAAAGTGCAAACAAAAAACTGTGACATTCAAATGACCTAAAGACGCTTCACACATATAGTTTGACTATAAAGCCTGAAATGACAAAAAAAAACCCAAAAAAACCCCAACAATGTCAGAGTAGAAGATTGAATTTGCTACATTATATAATTTGGACTGTAAATATTATTTTATGTAGTTTAGAGCAGGTAAGTTTACCATACTCCTATTATCAAGAGTTTCTTTTCTGTAGAAATTCATGGTAAAAAATCAATATATTCCACTTTTGATCAATCTTTTAGAAACTAATATAAAGTTTCCACAGTCATGAGTGGTGTAGTAATAAAAAGGACTTAGTGGTTAGTGACAGCTGGTTAACATTAAGTCCTATCAGATCTGCTTACAGGAAGTGTGTAGCACATGAAAGTCACCTTTCAGTTTTCAAGAGATTTTGGAGAACATCTAAAAACACCAGGTCTCTGAAGCTGTTGCACCAAAGCATTAGTTCAAAAACACAAAATGGACCAAAGTAAATTGTCTTATATGGTTTTCTTTGGTCTTTCTTCTTCATATAGTACATTCCAGAAGGCTATTAAGAAGATTAAAGCAGATACTTGCAGGTAGAAGAGTCAATCTCATTAGGATAATAATTATTCCCCAGGTACTTTATAATCTTAAATTGCTGCTGGAAACATATAACCTTGAGCTGTCACACAGCCTATTCTCCAGGAGACTCATTGCTAGTATTTCTGGGGGACAAAGCAAAACAAAATGTTTCAAGTGAGAAAATACCCAGAGATGCTTTTTAGCTCATTACTAGGTATGAAATTAAGCTCGTCAGTACATATAAGGAAAAGAGGGTTCATGCCTCCATAGTAAGTAAACCTTACTGTACTCACCAGATAGCTTTTAATTATAAAATCTGTTTTCTCTCTGTCTCCTATCTTGCAGACTTCAACCTCTTCCCAAGGTTTGTGATTCTTCATAAATGATACCAAGGAATGAATCTATACTGAGTTAGGAACAATGCAGATTATCCTCAGCAAGTGACTGAATAGGTTATTCTCTTTTTCTGGTTCCCAAAGTGTCTTTAAGATATAACTGAACTGGAATTAAAATGGAAATTATGGAAATGTGCTATAATTTCCTTTTTTTAATCACAGGTTTTGTGAGAGTATACCGTTCTGTACAACATCCTACACTGTGTCATAAGCAAGGATCCATGTAGCTGCTGCTTGGCAAAGTCACATTGCACTGTTTATGCCAGTAAATGGACTAGTGTTCTGCTTTATGTGCCTGAATCAGTTTAGGATGTCTTTGTTCAATTAAAAAGAAAAGATGGATTGATATTTGCCCTCATTTAATAACTCTGAGTATGTCACGCTTTGGGTTTTTTGGAGGGGATGTTACCATGTAGTGGTGAACGACTGGGTGGCTGTCAGAGCCAGGGAGAGGAAGAAAGAGAGTGACACTTGCCCACAGGGGACCTCCCCGGGGACAGGTGCCTGCTCTAGCTGCTTATGTGATACAAACCTTGCATATACCATCCACATCAGAAGCACTGGAAAAAAGATTTTTGAGTGATTGCCTTAACCACCAACATGGGCAGCCTTGTTGTTCTTTCTTTCCACCCTGGTAACTCTTTCTGACCACGTACATTTGATTTTATTCTAAACACAGTGGGTCAACTTCAACAGCAGAAGCAGAGGATCTCTCCATCCTCCTTCCTCGCTCCCATCCATCCCACTGGTCAAAGTCTTCCTCAGCAACATCAGAGACATAAATTTAAATTCCTTCAAATAAATAAATTAATTTTGCTTGGGTCTCCATCATGCCATAGATTTCTTTAACTGCTCTACTACTGCATGCAAAGAGAGGGAACCATTATAGAAAACAGTCACTGGTTCATTTTGAGTACAGCATGATATATGTGTTCTCAGTGTTTCTAAAAATCAAGCCTCAGAGATGAAGTAGTCAGGGGAAGCATTCTGTTTCCAGATGTTCACAGATGCTCAGATCCTGTCAAGACAGAAATGGTGTGTATACACAAGAGCTGAGCTTCTGATACCTGAAACACTTTGCAGCAAAATCAGGGTCCTCCCCCTGTGTTCAGACTTGAACAAAATCTGCACAAGATTTACAAACACCACTGTTTCAAACAGGGCTGTGAAGCTCCACTTACATATGACAAATGCTAGGACCAGTCCTGTAACTTTCTGTGCTTTTCTGATTCTAACAGTCTGCTCAGAAACAACTGGGAGAAGCAATTAACAGGGCCTGAGCAGGACCCCTTTACTGAGGAGAATGGGAAAAGGTACAAATGGGTAAAAAGGGTAAATCATCCACTTTTGCCCCAGTCTCTTGATGCAAAGGCATAGCTCCTAAATTACCCTTCTAATTCCACAGTCTGTTATTTTGCAAATATTTTATACCACAATATTGAACTAAATACAGGAGAGGGAGCTATTGTTGCCTCAATTATAACGTACAAGTTCAGCAGAATTCATACCAGTTTTTCCTGCTGGGGAAAAAAATGTTCAAGCTGATAAGCAGACTGGAGAGAACTAGGGGATATTTGTATTTCAACAATAGAAAAATATGTATGCTTAATATATCTTAGTGATATTATCTTTTTACACGCATAGAGTTAACTCCAAGGAAACTGTTAAGAGAGAAGTGAGGAGGAAATGGTAAGATAAGACACCTGAGGTAAACAATTTTAAAGACCTTTAAAAAGCAAGTAGGGTATCATAGAAGAGAAATCCACCCATTGGGCTCAATCCAGGTGGCAAGTAGTTCCGTCTTCTCAAATATGAAGCCACATACACATCTGAATGCTCAGAAAATGGGTGAGAGGTGGGTGATGCAGAGATGCATCAACAGGAGCTGACAAATGGATTGTAACACAGCTGCTGTGAGAGGAGCCCCAAAGACGAGGGCATGTGCTGCAAAGGAAACTGACAGTGCTGCAGCTGATACTGCCCATGTACAGCCCTCACATCTCTTTTGCTAACACACCTAGTGCTGCTGAGGAATGTGTAAATACAACTGTTTTTAAAGGATTTCTGTCAATATACATTTATGCTGCAAGAGGATCTTGACTGAAAGCTCATGTAAATACTGTCACATAATATTGGACTCACATCATAAATACAGGTGAGAAAAGGCAAAGTAGAGAGCCAGTCAAAAAAAAAGACAAAACTTCCAGAGTGAGGCATAGGTATTACTTTTTGAGGTCTGCACTTGAAGGAACCAAAAGGACAAGTGGAAATTATAGATGCACTGGGGATTTTTTTGTTACAGCTATAACAAATAAGTAGTTTGCATGTAAAATTAAGTAATACTTGTCCCTTAGTTCTACATCTCTGATTCACCAAGAGGAAGGATTTATGATCCATGGGCTGTGCTGCAAGAAATTACTTAATTCCTTTTCCTTCTCACTTTACTCATAAAATGTGCTTCTCCCATGAAGCCTTTCAGCAATGAACTCTGTTCAGATTTTACACATCCAAGTTGTGCTGTACCCACGTACAATGGTATCAGAATAGTTTTTATGTATTTTAGATTCCTGTGATCTAAATTCTGTAAAGATCTTATCTCTCAAAGCTCCTTAACCTGCAGTTAACTTTCAGCACATGAGCAGTCATGTTGGTTTCTGAGCAATTAATTTCCTGCTTACAATGTCTTCCTTGAAAGTTGTATGTATTCTAACAGTCTTTGTCAACTGTAAACTAGAACTCCAGGTTGCTCCAAGTTTTAGTTGAACTAATGAGAAAAGGAGAAAAGTATTAGGAGATCTTTAAGAACACTCTTTTCCTATTAAAAACAAAACAAAACAAAACCACAAAAAAACCCCAACACAAACAAAAAAAAACAACACCAAAACAAAACAACAAAAACAAACAAACAAACAAAAACCCACCAAAACCACAAAATATCTCTTATTACAGAAGCATTGTTTCTGGATACTTGAGGTAAGACAGCCAAAAAAGCTGAACTTTTGTCAGATGTCATTTTTGTACTGATAGAAGCAGAGTTATGCAAAGTTATTAGTAGCTTTTGGAATTCCTGTCTAAGGCCTCTGACAAAGTTTCTAGATGAGACTGGAGGAAGGAGTGCAACCTCTAGAGGCTGTCCAAATCTGGCAGGTTTTTTTCTTTTTTTTCAGGGGGCTCTCTAAAGCATGTGACAAGGCAGGGTCTCCTGTATTACTACCCCTGCTGCCTTCAGTCTCTATGAGCACAATTTTCTATTTATTTTTTTTTCATGTCAAGAGCATTCCTATGTCTTACACTGATCCTAAATCAGCTGTAGCTTATCCATTCGCTTCAGTGAATGCAAGAGCAAGATGTAATGGCTATGTGTATGTGTGTGTATGCTTCCCTCTTCCAGAAGCTCTAAAACAATGTAGTTTTGAAAGATTTAATGTAAGATGTGATTTTTAGGTGCATTAAAATTACTTACATGTAATGGAGTATCCATAAAATAAATCATGTGTCTAGGATCTCCGTAGAGATGCTCTTGCCCTGTGCCCAGTAACCCAACAAGCCACAAGAGCCCAAGGAGAGGAAGACAAGAAGTGGAAACTCACCACAGTTATGCCATCATTTAGCAATGACTCTCCAAAGATCATCATGTAAAGTTGCTCATTAACAGAAGCTTCTTCAAAAACGACCAGAGCTGCCACAGGATCCACAGCTGAAACCATGCTGCCAAAGAGCAGGTTCTGCAGCAGGTTCAAGTCAGTCAGGCCAAAGGCTTCAATCTGGCAGACTCCATAGAGGGAGAGGCCAATCCCGAATGAGTTTAGCAGAGATCCCAGCACAGACCACCACAGGATGGACCCAAAGTTTTCAAAAAATGGGCGAGTTGGCATGAAATAACCCTCCTCCAGGACAATAGGTGGAAGGAGATACAAGAAATAAATGCTTGTAGTCATCACTGGTGGAGATTTGTAATCAGAAGCAAAGATGATTGCTCCTACTAGGGCTCCAATGGCAATCAGGACGCAGCTTTCAGGCATGAGTCTTGGTAATCGGTGATAGAGATGGAAAGCTTGAATAAAACATTGCAGTATTAATCTAATTGAAATTAACTGATGTCAGACAGAAGTTTTGCCTGCCCTTGAATAATTTGTCTTCAGACAGCCAGGTTTTGTTTTTAGGATTATGAAAATAAATATACAAGCAGTACTATTCCATTCAAAAAGAAATATTCCCAGACTTGTATCACTACAGCAGGGAAAGTATTTGGCCATGAGCCTCTTCTCTTCCTGCTCCCCAGCTCCCAATTTCTGAGCAAGTGTGGCTCAGTCTAAGTTCCACTTCTAGGAATGCACAAAATCTTTTTGAAAAGGCATTCCGCAATTTGTAAAGAACACATTCCTCAAGAATCCTTGCTGTCCAAATGCTGCTGCCAAACCTCTTAGGCACAGTGGTGTCCCTCTGCCTCAAAGAGATCGCTTATTCCTGGCTGTGGGTTTTAGGAAGCTCCCCACAATGCTGAGGAATGTCCCTGGCTGCAGAACTCCTGCTAGACTTGGGCTGACCAGGAACCTGGAGAAGCCCAGGGGTTAGGGGAGCAGCTCAAATGCCACAGTCTGTTCAGCTCCCTTCACTTCCAGCACTCCCCTGAAGCATTGCGCAGACTTCAGGTCATCCACAGGCTGAGGGACTGAGTACTCACAAACACCAAAATGTCCAAAGCATCTCAGGTACCAGCATGAACCAAGCCACAGTACGATAAGGCTTTGTACAAGCTGATTAACTGTGCTTTTCTGGGAAAACTACTGTTCCTACCTGAGGCAAACAGCACCCTGCAAGGAACATTATGAGTTAGTTTACTAAAACAAAACCAGTCATTCCAGCAGAACTGAAGAACTACCAGCAGCCATCAAATATCTGAGAAAATAATGCATCCTGAGGGTTGTTTTTTTCTCTTCTCACTAGAATGAAGCTTGTGTCCATACAGTTGAATTGTCTTCCCTGCCCCAGCATGAAGCTGTCAAGTCAAATTGCCTGTGGGAACAGACCCTGGCCCACAGTCTGCCTGGGCACTGCCTGGAAAGATGCTTGTCAACACAGGCCAGAGCTGAGGAGTAGCGTACCAGCACTGACATGATACAGACGGTCACACACAGCCTCCTTACAGGGAAGTAAGTTAGTTTACAAGATAGATGTAGCCAAGCTTCTTATACAGAGAAAGGGCTACAGTCACATATAAATGTTGCGAGTGTGAATCTCCTCCTACCCAGACTTTGGTACTACTGCTGTATTCACTTAACTCTTCCCATTTGACACAACTACTGATACCAAAACCAAAATCCTGTCTCACAGTGGTTCATCTAGTTGCTATACCAGGACCTGTGCAATAATATTGTGAATGAGAGTTGCCTCAACTATAAATGTTCAGAATTTACAAGAATGAGACAGACAAAGAATCCAATAAATCCAATGGTTGTGACTCCTGAAGCTGGTCAACCTTCATCCCATAACTCTAGCAGCTAATGACAGAAACATGACCACATTTCTGTGACTCTTGAGTTATCAGTGTTCAAAAATAAAGGAAAAAATATTTTTATGAAATTTTAAATAACTTATTTAGGAGACTATCTGTTTTTACCAAATGTATATTAAGATCATAACTATACCGATCTCTTTTTTAAATTCAAGATATCATGTTCAAGTCTTCTTTCAGCTTTATGGAATAAGGGGATTGTTTTGCCATCTAGAAATGTTTCCCACACTGTTACCTTGAAAACCAGAGTAAGATAATAACTGGATAAAGCACTGAAAATTGTTGACAGTTTGGAAATCTTCCCTCGGTAACTGGATTATTCAGGCTAACACTTTTCATAAAAAATAATGTTATTGGAAAACCCCCAGCTAAGAAAATGGTCTGCTTCGGAGACATGACAAAGTTTTTTTTAAGTATCTGTTTCTTGCTGAAAACAAGAATATTGAGTAGATGTGCCATATGGCAAGTCCTGTGCTTTTATGGGTGATGAATAAAGAAATGGATCAATATGCTCACTGCTGTCTTACTCTGTTGATGCCACAACAAAAAATTGGATTTGTGAATTTTTTTAGTATTATTTTAACAGTGAAGACATTTGTTCTTAGGGATTCAATTGAGATCATCAGCTATTTGAAACTGGAAAATCATAGTCAATGGTTACGATTTTTATCAATTGTGTGACTATTATATGAAAAATATTTATGTTCAAGCCACCTCCATAGACTCACTAATCCCTTCTACCAGCCCGTTTCATAGTAATGTTTCAAAATCCCATGTAAAGATCAAAAGAACAGGGACAACGCATGTGGGCAGCACTTCACATTATTACTATCTTTTTTATTTGATATCACTGCATTCATTACAAAAGGCCAAAATAATTTGAGCCCAGCCATGCAAATGCATAAGAAACATGGTGAGCCATTTTTGCTATTTTAATTGCAGTCCCTACTTCTCTATGAGTTGTCTTACTTCATTCAGATACCTACATGGAACTCTAAGAGAAGCTAGATGCTTTGGTATGTATTCAAAAGGTATTCACCCAACATTTCTGATGACCTATACTTTCTTAGACTCTCAGTCCCTATTACTTTAAACAGCAAACACATAAAACAAAGGCTCATAGGGAAATGTTTCCTATTATTTGCACAATTAAATAATTCTTCCCATTTTTCTCCCCCCAGTTCAATACTCTTGAAGTCTCAGTCTAGTGTAACTGATTTCTACAGTTGTGGCAAGTTATAAATTCATGTATCTTGTGATTTTTAAAGACCAGAAAAAGGAATGAACAACACTACGTAGGGGAGCTCCATTGCTACTTACTGGTATGGACAACCCAAGAGTTATGATGCTTAGAGGTTATATATTTGGTTAAGTAAGCTGGAAGCATTAAGAGGTGGATTTTTTTCATTGTCATGGTAAGGAGTAAATATGTTCTTCTGAGGACAGAAGCTGTAAAAACAATCCCAGCTGCAAAAGTGCATGGAAGATACTTGGTAACATGGCAAATTTTTAACTTCTAACTGAGGCAGAAGGACCCAAGATCCCATTTTCTACTTACCTATTTTTGCAAAAGAGGCAAGGAGTATCCAAAGAGTAACTTCATAGGGAATTTTCACAGAGTCATAGTCCACTGTGAAAACATGTAGCCTTGTATCTTGAGAAGAAGCATCAGCATCTCCATGATCAGGGTCAGGGAAACTCTTGCCCGGGTTCAGCTCCTCCACATAAGCAGCAGCAGAACAGGAGACCAGACTTGAGAGTAACAGCAACCGCTTCAAAATCTTTGCATGTGCAAGAGCCACAGAGCCCATGTCTGGAGCTCTGGTTGTTTTATTACAGATACAGCATACAGTGGGTGCGTGAAGGTATGCAACCCTCGCTCCTGTCAGCTTGTGCTGCTTGTAGCCACAGCCACTTCTTGCTCAGGGCTGCTTCATTTGCCTATTAGAGGTCATTTTAAAAGCCCTAATGTGCCTGTCCTCTTCCTTGTGTTACAGACAAACCCAGAGATGTATGAAGATACCGGTTCTGCAGGTTTCTCCAATCCAGATAAACCTTCGCCACAGCATCACCCTGCTAAGGAATAAAAAGCCCTTTCAAACTACATTATTTAACCAGACACTCTGATTTCTTTCCCATTATCAAAAAATACAATTAAATTTAAAAAACAGGGCTGCAATGCACACCTTTCAGGCAGCAAGTGCAGCACAGGTAAATAGCATCAGGTGGGAAAGACGATGGCACCCGGGGCAGGCAGGGGAACCTGCTCCATACCTTCCTCTCCTGCCCTCACCCCCCGTCTGCCTGCCCAGCACACTGGCACCTCAGGTACCACACTTGGCACTGCTCACTTTTCCTGTCTCGCCTGGTAACAAAACTACTTGGTGTGTAAATAAATAGACTCTGCAGGGTTTACAGTAGGGACACCTGGTGGAGGACCACGCCAATTACCTTCTCGTTTAGAAATATGTTCTCTTAAATTCATTTATGTAACTTAGTATATTATTACAATAGAAAGAGGAAGGTCTGAGTCACATGACATGCCTGGAACTGAATCTTGAGTTGTCCTGCATTTAACATTCATTTTACTCATGCTAGCAAGGTGTTTACAACCACATTATCCTTCTCCAATATGACATTCATCCTTACGGAAGGTTGGTTTTTTTTTAAAGGCCAGCCTCTTCTCTCCTTCTCAGAAACTATTGTGCCTATTGTTAGGATAACATAGTGTACAAACATAGTAATGTTTCTTGGAAGCTGCTAAAGCCCATGTTACATACATTTAACATGAGTAAATTTAGTTTACTGACAAATTGTTCAAATTATACACTGATTTGTTTGTGTTGGAAAACTGCAGACTAGTGAGAACAAAGATATACCCCAAAACAACTAGTGCTGAAGACTGTACATCCAGACTGAATATGTCTGGGAGGGGACTCCTTCAAGCCAGCTGGTCCCGAGACTGATGGTCCTTTCACGGATGGAGAAAGTTTTCAACTTTCTGTGAAAAAGTGATCCAGTATGTGCAACTGTGATGCTCTGCAGTGCAAAGCAAAAGGCAGCAAGTGGTGACAACTGGGAAATTTGCTTCACAAGTTTATAATGATCTGAACTGTATCCCCAATGTAGGTGCAGCTGCAGCATCTAAGATTTCTGTGGTACAGCCTGTGATCATAGAATCATAGAATGGTTTGGGTTGGAAGGGACTTTAAAGGTCATCTAGTTCAAACCCTCTGCGTGGACAGGTACAATGTTCTTTTTAAATACAAGGCATTGGCTTCTACTTCTGCCCCACAGCACAACAACCAGACCTCCCACTGAAGGCTACGAAATTAGATACATAACACTCAGTCTGCTTACAAGAGAGTTGTTCTTTTTCCAGTATATTTGTCTTGTTAACAGCAGTATTTCTTGAAGTCACTTTCCATAATTAGCTTAATTTGTTAACTTGAAGGCCAAATTAAGTCAGCAAAACACCACATTAATGGCTCTCCTACTCAGATTTTCTTTACAGCAACCATTCTTTGCATTTCACTTAGCTACAGCCATACACACACTGGCTGCACGATGTGTTGAGATCTGAACCCCAGAGAGTTAGCAGCCAGAGGACTGTAAGGGAAAAGTTCACAGTCCCTGGAAGCTCTGACAACCAGGATTTTGATTTACAACTGCAACACACCTATAATACCAACATATTCAGTGAGACCTATGAGCGACCACCACCAAACAGAATCAGCAACATGCAGATGTCTCCAAGTGTGAAATGTTTCATGACTGGTAGGAATGCTTTCTCCTATGGCAGGAAGGATGGACATTCCTGGGATCAGTGCTTCTCCTTTTCTCAACCCCTTTAGCAACACCCTGCTGCAGCACCCTCCTGTAATACTTTCTCAGTGCTTCCACAGGAGGAAGTAACTTGTTTTAAATGAGTTTGGGTTTGTCTTACTGGACTGCACAGGAAAATTAAACTGCAAGCTTCCTCTGGAGTTCCCTTTTTTAATATTTTTCTAGAAAATAAGTACAAAAATAATCCATAAGAAATACAGTGCAAAGTAGAAAACATTCACATGTATGCCTCAACATCACAGAAAAATATTATAATAAATATCAGAAAAAAAAAATAATTTATGAAATATAGCTCCCATTTACAGCTGTGTGCAGTAACTCAAAGTTTTACTGTGGGACTGCAGCATTGTCACACTGGCAGCCCTTCTCACTGATTCGAGTGAGCTACTGCGGACTGCAGTGATAGTCCATAGTGGTCAGCCAATGGAGATAAGGTCTTCCACAGTCACATCACCATTCCTGAACCTGCTGTCATTCCTCTGTGAAATTTCTGCTATCGATATACTAGGCTGAATAACCTATGGAAAAAGCCCTTTAGGCTGCAATTTCCCAACATCTTAGTAGTCTTCACTGGCATGTGATAATGTATATATTTCCAGAACTTCTTGTTTGGAGCAGCAGAAATAGAAGACTTCCAGGTAATGACTGGTAAAATCCGAAGAGCTTTCTTCACTACTAGAGGCAAAGTATCTGGCTCTTGGAAAGCCTGGAACTTTATTAATACCAGTTTGATCTTGTTGTCTTCCAGTGCACAGTTCACCGCTGCCTGCAGTTCAAAGATGCTTGGTCCACTGACATAGGCTGGGCTCAAAATAATTATTGCTCGTCTGCTTTGTTTAATGGCTGTAACAACTTCATCTGTGTAAGCTAAAGAAGAAATAGAGGCCATTACTCCATTCTATAATGGATTTTTTGTCTTATCAGTTCTTTTACCAACAAGTAAAACCCAGAAATAAGGAAAACAAAAAATAGGGATGCCGAGCAAACATAGAATCATAAAATGATTTAGGTTAGAAGGGGCCTTTAAAGATCACTTAGTCCAACTCTCCCTGCAATTAGCAGGGACAACTAGATCATGTTGATCAGAGCTCTGTACAAGCTGATCTTGAGGTTTTCCAGGGATGGTGCTTCTACCACTTCTCTGGGATGCCTGTTTCACCACCCTCCATATAAAAAAATGTCTTCCTTATATCTAGTCTGAGCTTATCCTCTTTTAAACCATTATTCCTTGTCCTATCACTAGAGGCCCTGCCTAAAAGTTTATCCCCATCTTTTTTGTAGGCCCCTTTCAGGTACTGGGAGACCACTATCAAGTCTCCCCAGAGCCTTCTGTTTTCCAGGCTGAACAACCTCAACTCTCTCAGCCTTTTCTTGTAGGAGAGGTGTTCCATCCTTTTGTTTATTTTTGTAGCCCTAGAAGTAACATAACCCCTACAAATGTGTTTGCTACCAGAGGGTATCACAGCTATTCTTACGTAGCAGAGCACAGCTTGCTACTTTGGTGGAGGACTCAGCTGAGGCCTCAACACGCTTTGTTGCTACACAAACAGGGCCTCGAGGGACACTTGGACTTATCTTTGTCTCTCCCAGGGACAGGTACTGAGGCCTTTCTAAATACTGCAGGTAGTACTGAATAAAGTTTCTCAAAAAGTAACTACTGAAATATTTGGGGTCTTCTTTCCAGGAAATGGGGTCTGTTTGCAAGGAAATTCTTGGATAAGAAGCTTTGTCTCAGCCTAGTAGCTCCCAGTGACCACACTTATATGTACGTATGCTTCAGGTGTAGGGGCCAGATACAAAGATCAAAACTTGCTGAGATTTAAGTAGAAACTCTAGTATCAAAATATACCATTTGCTGATCTGATGCATAAGGTTTTTTGGAAAGTGAAAAACAATTTTACAAAGAACTGAAGATTTACTATCATCCATAGGGATCTTACCTCCTCCTGGAAGAATATCTCTTTCAAGAATGCATAACTTGTACCCATATTTATTTTCCAATATATCTGGAAGAAGCTCCAGGGCAAATTGTTCCTCACTAATTAAAGTAGAGTCACTTTCAGAATAATCTAGTTTTGCATAGGACACAAATGCATCAAATTCTTTGCCATCTGAAATAATAAGTAACACTGTATATATTGAGTCTGTCTGAAGTATTCAGCTTTCTTCTTAGTTCTGTTTATATCTATTTAAGTAGGCACAACACGAACATAAAATTTTCATCTGTTCATGAGATACAGCCTTCCAGTTACCCAAAGCCAACCCTTATTCATCACCATATTGCAGATTTCGTGGACATACACTACCTAGGCAAATGAGGAAGCTACAGATGACTGGTGCAAGAAAGATTAAACCAGGCGTTTTTCTGCTTTTTCACAAGCATCGTCCAGTTTTCAGCAGTGGAGGATCTGACCCCTTCCAGGCAAAATCCATGTTTCCCAATCTTTTCTCTCATTTACTGAAACCCTGATTCCAAAACTATTTGTCAATGCCAAGCCTACTTTGAAAATATAGTGACTTTTAAAGGAACAATGTTCTTAAATATTCGCTGCTTGCAAAATATATTTTCATACACTGTGATGTTTCTAATCTGAGAATAAAAATATCTGAGAATAAAAATAAAGTCTGATAAAAGTATCAGCTCAGACATCAAGTACTCACCAGTTCCTGAACCTTGCTTCATTCTCATTTAAATAGTTTGTGAGGTGCAGATGAAAAACATATAAAGAACTTTTCTGAGCTTTAAACACCCTGGTACCTATGACCTGAGTTAAGCCTATTTTTAACTACAAGAAAAAAGCAAATCTTTTGTATTGACAGATCACAGACCACAGAATGGTTTGGGTTGGAAGTGACGTTGAAGATTTTCTAGTTCCAACCCCTTTGCATGGACAGGAACACCTCCCACTAACTCAGGTTGCTCAAAGCCGCATCCAAGCTAGCCCTGAACCTACTTGCTTAATAA